TGAGATTAAATGGCATTAAAACTGAACCCTACTTGAATAGATGCAAATACAGCAATGTTAAAGTTTGAATGCTGATGGTAACTTGGTAATGCTAGCGATCTAATACTAGTGCTAATATCTGATCATTTTCATATTTTACGGTCCTCTTTGATTGTAAAAAATTGATCACATAGCATTTAAGCATATCCCTTCATGGGAATATGTGATTAGATGGCATTAAAGCATAACCCTTCTTATATATTTGCAAATACTGTGATGTTAAAGTTTGAAGCAAAGCTAACTTGCTAATGCTAGCCATCTAATGCTATTGCTAATATCTGGTCATTGTCATACTGTATGTGTCCTCTATGATGGAAATAAGAGATCAGATGGCATTAAAACATAACCCTTCATGGGATTATGAGATTAAATGGCATTAAAGCTTTACCTTTTGTATAAATGCAAATACAGCAATGTTAAAGTTTGAATGCTAATGCTAAATTGCTAATGCTAACGATCTAATGCTAGTGCTAATATCTTTGTCATTTTCATACTCTGTACGCGGTCCTCTATGATGGAAATAATAAGAGAGCACATGGCATTAAAGCATAACCCTTCATGGGAATATGAGATTAGATTGCATTAAAGCTTAACTCTCTTGTAATATACAAATACATCAATGTTAAAAGTTTGAATGCTAATGCTAACTTTTGCTAATGCTTACGATCTAAATGCAAGTGCTAATATTCAGCCATTTTCATACTGGGTACGTGTCCTCTATGATGGAAATAAGAGATCATTTATATTAAAGCATAACCCTCATGGCAATATGAGATTAAATGCCATAAAAGCTTAACCCTTCTTGTAATATACAAATACAGCAATGTTAAAGCAAGTTTGAATGCTAATGCTAACTTGCTAATGCTTACGCATCTTAATGCTAGTGCTAATATCTGGCCATTTTCATACTGGTACGCGGTCTCTCTATGATGGTAATAAGATATAAGGATGGCATTAAAGCACAACCCTTCATGGGAATATGAGATTAAATGGCATTAAAGCTTAACCCTTCTTGAATACATGCAAATACAGCAATGTTAATGTTTGAATGCTAATGCTAACTTGCTAATGCTTATGATTTAATGTTAGTGCTATTATCTGGTCATTTTCTACTGTACGTGGTCCTCTATGATGGAAATAAAGAGATCAGATGGCATTAAAAGCATAACCCTTCATGGGATTAAGA